CCAGCCCCCTCCCCACTTGCCCAGAAACGACAGGGCTGGAGGAAGAGGAGCTGGGCAGCGAGGCCGCAGGGCTGGCTGTGGGCGGCGGGGGGGACACCCACAGGAAGCGGCATTGTTCCCGGAGCTGCGATCCAAAGAAACACAGGATGCCAAGCTCTCCCCCCAACGATTGTGGCTGCCGCGGTGGCAGCCGCTGCGGCCTGGCCCACTCCGGGAGGGATGGGGGAGGAAAGTGTGGGCCAAAGGCCCAGCCCCTCATCCTGGACTTCAAGGCCCGTCACAGTGTGGTCTCTATTGACCACCCCCACCCAAGTCACTCCAATTGCTGGAAGTTTCTTGCACACCCCCCATGCTTGTGCTCAAGATGCCCAATTGCCCTTTCAGGGCATTTTCTTCTCTCAGTCTAGCTCAAATGGCACCTCCTCCAGGAAGTCCCTCCCTCCCCAACACGGGTCAGATGCCCACTTTCAGCTCACACAGCCTCTCTGGGTTTCCCCCGCTGCGGCCCTGACTTCCTTGAGTGTCCCCCATCAGACTGGGTCTGAATGACCCCTCACAGGGCTGGGAAAGGAGGTCTCTCTGTTGAAACAGTTTCAAGGACCCCTCCCCCACAGGACACCGTAAGAGGGGCTCCTGCTTGCTGTGACACATGACCCGATTGTTGGGGACATATTCGGCCTCTCCTGGGTGGGGGCCCTAGGGTGAGAAGGAAACCTAAGTGGCCCCTCAACGAGGAGCAAAGGGTCCGGGGGGGGGACGGCCCCCACCCCGACTCTGAGGACCCCCTGGGCTCATTCCCTACATCTCTAGGCTTTGCCAGCCCTCTTTTACGACCCCCTACTGGAAGGGCAACGCTTTCCCTGTTTCAGAGATGAGGAAACTGAGGGTCAGAGAAGCCCTTGGTCTTGCCCAAGGTCACCTAGCTTGGCTGGGACTGGTACCTGAGACCCCCCCCTGACCATATTTCCTCCGCTGGAGAAAGCCCCCGAAGTCCAAGACGAGGGGTGCTCAGAGCTGGTGGCAGCCCAGAGGGGGCTGAACACTGCCAAAGGTCACACAGCAGGGAGGCAGAGTCCTGGGGGATAGTGCCCCACAAGGGCTGTCACTCAGGGATGTGGGGGACCCCACAGGCCCTCATCGCCAGGCAACCTGAGTGGCCAGCACGCCGGCGGCGTTCCCATGGAGCTCATAGCTGCACACAAGAGGCCGGACGCCTTTCTCCACTGCAGAAAGGGGCTTTGTTACCTTGCCCAAGCGGCCGGCGTGAGAGCCGCCCGGCGCTGGGAATCCTAACGGCCCAGCAGCCAAACAAAACCCGCAGCCCCCGCTGCCCCCTCCTGCCGGCCTGCTGAGCCCCTGGGAAAGGGACGCTGTGTTCCCAGGAGGCTGCCATGGGGTTCCCAGGGCCCCCTCCCCATGCTTGGACCAGACAGGACCCTGCCCCCCCAGGCCCCACCAGGACCCCATCATGGCCCTGCCCCAAAACAGGGCTCAGCCAGGCCAGAAGGCCCCCAGACCTCGAGGGGCTGAAACAGGGAGGAGGCGGTGTGGGCTCTTCTTCTGAGCCCCCAGCCCGGTCAAGGGGCCTCACCCTCACCCCAGATGCCCAGTTTGTGCCCTGGGTTTCCCAGCTCAGGGATATCCCCCCACCCCACACCCCCGCAGGGCTCACATTCTGCCCTCGTCCTGCCCCAACCCAGCCGTCCTGCTGCAGCCTGGAGGGAGATTTTCAAAGTGGGGTGTGTCGTTATTATGTGTGCGGAGGAAGCCAATGCTCAGCTAGGGTGTACTGAGCACAAGGTCCCGGCTCCAGAAACTTCTGCACTGTGGGGAGACGGCCGCCGAACAGACTGAAAGCCCAGCGCTCTCTTTCTTCTGAGATGGACTCCCCAGGGCCCACTAACGCCCACCCCCAACTTCAGAATATTTTCTACAGTGACTTGTCCCATTGCAAACACTGGGATGGGGATGCGCCTGGCCTGAGCCCAGGGGTCCTAACCCCCCCCCCCACCGCCTCTAAGGAAAGAGCCTTCTCCCCAGGGAAGGGCATGAGCCCAGGGTGACGCCCATGCAGAATCTGCCTTGGGGAGGTTTGGGGACAATAATGCCCCGTTAATGAGTTCCAGTGTTTGAGGGGCAAGAAGCATCACAGGGCACCACCCCCAGGCACTGGTGGCTGGTGTGGGGTCAGTGCAGGCCACCCAGGGCCCTGGAAGTTGGCTGGGGATGGGTCCCCAGCACGCACTTCCACAACCGTATGGGGAGAGTGGCCCCACCAGGAAAACTGGGCTGGAAGGGGGCGGACCGGCATCACTCCCCCTGATACTCCCAGTGGCTGTACAGAGGTGCAGCCTGGCGCCCATCGGATGCTGCCACCACCTGGACAAGAGGGCACCTTCTCTTCTCCCCTGCCCACTTGCCCAGGCTGCGGGGGCTCACCATCTCCTTGTGGCGCGAGATCCACGTCTCCAGCAGCAAGTCGAGGCGCGCCCGGTGAAACTTTTTGGTGGTCTTGACCGCGATGAAGACGTCGTGCGGCGTGAGTGGCTCGGCCGGGGGCCGCGGATGGCCGTCTGCGGGGCGGGGGACGCTGCCGGGCGGTGGGCCCGCGTCTCTACGAGAGCGGGTCAGCAGGCTGAAGTACTCGGACAGACTGTGCACCTCGCGGACTAGCACCCCGGGTGCCGCCGCCGCCTCCAGCCCAGGAGCTGGGGCCGCCCCCGAGGGGCCCGCCAGGCTGCGCAGCGCCCGCCGACCGCGCTCAGCGGGCACCGGGGGCGGCGGCGGGTCGGCCGTGAGCACCAACAGGCAAGCGAGCAGCGCGCCCGCCAGCGCCAGCAGCAGGCGGCGGCCGCAGCGCTTGAGCATGGTGGGGTGGCGGCCGCACGGTGCGCCCAGCCCCGCGCGCCCTGCCCCTCACTCCGGCGCAGAGGATCTGGGGTCCCGCGGCAGGTCCAGCAACGCACCGCCCGCGCCCCGCGCTCTTAAACCGCCCAAGCCTGGCTCCGCCCCCCCGAGGGCGGGGCCCTCCCGTGAGGCCCCGCCTTCAGCACGAGCTCACTGGCTCCCGGGCCCTGGGGCGGGGCCTCTCCAGGTTGCCCCAGATGCTCCGCAGAGCCCACGTGGGGCCGCGGCGGGGGTCTGGGAACTGCCGAGCGGGCGTCTTGGGCTCCCGCCCCCGGTCCGCACGTGCACGCCCCGCCCCGCCCCGCCCGGATCGCCCCGGCGGGCAGCGGGGCGGCGTGGGGATGTAGGTCCGCCCCGCCCCGGTGGCCCTGAAGGGGAAACCCAGGCTGGCCAGCGCCGGCTGGAGATACACCCGGCGTCTGACATGCGGAGGGGCGCGCCCTCGGCGCTGTGACGGGGATTCTGGGACAGGGACTTCGGGCTCAATCGTCCCGCGGGGGATGTCCTTCCTTCCTCGCTCCACACTTCCCCTCCCCGAGCCCACACTTCCCCTCCCCGGCTTCCTGCCCTAGGGGCGGCGCAGGCCTTGTAACGGGGCTGGTGCCTGGGTGGACCTGACCGCTCGGTCCAGAGTACCCTTTATTAATATCGAGGAGGTGCTTAGCCACCTGAGCCACAGGTAGGGACACGAGGTTCCAGCGAGAAAGCACCTTACCAAATTCCATCCCTGGCCCGCGAGCTAATTTCCTCGTCTCTGCCCAACGTCGGAGGGCAGAGGGTTGGTTCCCCGAAATCCTCGGGCGCCCCGTGGCGACCCGAGAAGAAATCGAGATCGCCCCTCCCCGCGCGGGATGAAAGGCCTCCTTCTGTCCCATTTGGTCCCTCTGCTCTCGGGCCAGATGTGGCCCAGCTGTGCCCCCGCCCCGCCTCCCCGGCACACGGCGGCTCCCACCCCCGGCCCTTCCCACGGGCTGGGCCAGCCCACCGCACGAGCAGGGGCGGCAGGAATGTGCGCCGACAGCCTGGGTTGAGGGTTAGGGACGAGGGGCGAGGAAGTGGCCAAGGGCTCCCCGTGGCGAAATCAAAGTCTGAGTCGCCCGCCCGCAGCATCTTCCGGAAGCGCGGCTAGGGGCGGCTCTCCGCTTGGCTGCCTCCTTCCCCTCCCTCCTCAGTTCCTCCTTATCCCCTCCTAAGGAGGCCCTAGGCGACCACCGCGGCTAAACTGGTCCCCCCTTAGCGCTCACTCTGCCCGCTGGCCCGTTTTCTTCATAGCGCTTACCTCTGCTCGATGGCACCCCTTCATGGTCCCTTTCCCTCCACTTGAATGTCAACTGCGGAGAACAGGGCCTGGAACGTAGTAGGTGCTCTATAAAGATTTGCTGTGTAAATGTCTGGCCCGGGTTCCAGACTCTCGCCTGGCGCATTTTTTCTCAGGGGCCTGCGGCCCTACCCCTTGCCCCTCTGGGATGGGGTGCGGTGGAGGATGGGAGTTCCCAGGCCTCTTCCTGTACCCACCCCCAAGGTAATTAGCAGGCGCCACCTCAGGCAGGCAGATGCCTGAGCAGATGGTGCTAGCTGTGCCCAAGTGACAAGACTCCCATGGAGTCACCTCCTGCCATAAACCCCTCCCCCATCAGCCAGAGCCCAGCCTTGGAGCCTCTAGTCAGCTGGAGAGGTGGGGGTGGGCAGGGGGGAAATGGACCCGATGGTGGGGTGGGCCACCCCCAAACAGTCAGCTGAGCCCCAGCACAGCTCCAGCCTCCTGTCTGAAGGGTCTCTGTGCCCCATTTCCCTCGCCCCACCACCGATGCTTATCTATCCCATTTCTGGGCTATTTTGAGAGGGAGCCTCCTCCACGACCATCCTCTCCCCGCTGGACCTCTTGAGCAGCCTCCACCCTGGTCTCCCTGCCCCCAGTCTACCTGCTCTATTGATTCTCCACTCAGAAACCACACAGCTTAATCAGACCCCCACGCCCCTGACACACACACACACACACACACACACACACACACACTCACAGGTCAAAATCTTTGATGGTTTCCCATGGCCCCTGAGTTCAAGTCCTAGCCTCGTGTCCACGTACCTCCCAAATGGGTCCCAGCTCCATTTCTTGCTACTCCCTGTGATGCCTCCCCATTCTCTAACAGCCCCCAAACCGTCAAGCCCCCAAATCTTTGCATGAACTGTGCCCTGTACCTGGGATTCCGTCAGTGGCCCCAATATTAAGTGGTACCCACTAGGTGCTGAGCATTCTGCAAGAGGTAGGAGGGACAGCAGCGTGAAGCCATGCCACCCCATACTCCCACCTGATGAGGTCCTGTGAGCCAACCCCTCCATGGCCCCTCCGCAAGGGGCGGGACCCCCTGCTCTGCACCCCAGAGCATCCCTGCTTTCTCCGACTCGTGCTCCCCGGTTCGTGCTACATAGTCCTGGCTGCTGTGCCTTTGACACACCAGACAGCAGAGGTGATGTGCCCATTGTACAGAAAGCAAGTTGAGGCTCAAGAAGCACTGCTGCATTGTACTCGGGGAGTAAGGAGGAGGAACAACTGTAGAGAGGGGCAGTGGCCCAGCCTGGCAGGGGCACGGTGTAGAGGCCAGCGGGAGGTTTTCTGCACCTCTCTGCAGCCAGGCTTGGTGGGAGTCCGGGGACCTGGGTGTGAGTTCCTGTCTGGGAACAGCAGGACAAAGCTTTGCAGCATTCTTGTGGGGGCCATGGGCTTTGGCAAGAGTGATTCAATTTCTTTGCTGTCAGGAGAATGGAATTTCGTGGTGACTCCTTGAGGTCTGAAAACTGTAGGGGGGTGGCGGCCTAGCCACCCCGGCCCCCTTCCCTAGGCTCAGCTCCAGCCTGAGGCACTCCCCTCCTCTGCCCTCACCCTAGACCCAAAGGCTCCCTCCAGGGACCCATTGGGCCAAACAGCTCTGAGGGGGGGGTGGTGGTGAGAGGAGGAGGTGCTGGGCCCAGGACAGGAAATGGGGACCCAGGGAAGGGATGGGGAGGGCTGACCAGGTTGCCAGGAAACCCCTTGAGGCCTTAGGGTCCTTGGGAAGGGGGATGGGGAGAGGCTGTGCCAGGGTCCTCCCCAGGTATGGGACACAGCCCTGGGGCTGGGCCCTTCTGGAGCCAGACTACTTGCTTTCCAATCCCAGAGGGGCCACATCTCAGCTTTGTCACCTTGGACCTGGGACATTCCTCCTCTGAGCCTTAGTTTCGCCACCCATAACACGAGGATGCCATTGTTGTTCATCTTCTAAGGTGCCGATGGGCAGTAAGTCAACCGAGCAGGCGGTCTGGCCCTCTGGCTCGGGGACATGGGTGTGTGCGCCTCTTGGGCGGCCGACCTCCGCTCAGCATGGCACGGCCCCTCCACCAGCCCCCGAGTGGGGCTCCTGGGCAGCTGGGTGGCAGAATGGCTTGAGAACTGCTGAACGAGGCTGGGTGGAGAGGTGGCCGAGGACAGGAGGCCCACATGACCAGCGAGGCCCCAGGGGACTCTCCTTGCCTCCCTGTCAGCTCAGAAGAGGTGTTGTGTGCCCGTCTGAGCTCAGGCCCCCTTTCCGGGCTGGGGCTCAGCCTGGGGCCTCCTGCAAATGAAATCAGCCCCAGTGGGTTCCAGAAGCCCCTTCCCCACCGGCTCCTGGAGCCTTGGGGCTGGCCTCGCCTGAGTGTTTCTTTCCCGGGAAGATCCAAGAGACATAATGGGTGACCCATTAACTCGAAGCGGGTCATCCAAGGCAGTCCCGCTCGGTGTCCCAGGAACAGCCTTTCCCAACCCAGCAGCAGAGCCCAGAGAGGGAAGGAAGGCACGGTCCCCACCCCCACGAGGTGGTGGCCGGCAGGCTGCCCCACCTGACACAGACATGAGAAGCCTGTCCTCAAGGCTGCCATCAGGGCGTCCGAGGAAAAGTGACAGCGTGGGAGCCCCAGATGCCAGGGTGCCCACGGGCTTCCTAAGGGGCAGTGAGTGGCATGCCTGCGGTGGCCCAGGAGCTTCTGGACGAAGAGTCAGTGCTGGCAGAAGGGGAGGCAATGGAGAGGGTTTGGCTTAGAAGCTCAGCGCAGAAGGGAGGGGGCACAGCAGGCGACGGCAGCTGATCTGCATCACTGATGGTCTGGGTGGCAGTGCACCCGTGAGAACAGACAGCCTACAGCTGCAAATGAGCCCCCGGCCCAGTTCCCCCTGCCTGCCGGCTCGCTCTGCCTGGAGCCCCTCACTCCCGGCCCACGCTCTGTGTGGCCTTGGGCCAGTTCCCTTCTCTCTGTAGGTCTCAGGATTTTACAATCCTGAGATATCTGTAATAAGAATATAGCTGGTACCTGCCCCACCCTGCCCACCCTGGGCTGGCTAGGGGCTGGTACTCTGCAGATGTAAAGCACCAATGGGCACTGGTGGCCTCTGGCCCTTTGGCCTGAACCTTGGGGCCTGGTGTGGTCAGAGCAGCCAAGCCGACTTGGCCTGGATGGCTGAACAAGGCTTCGGGGCGTGTGGATGGATGGATGGATGGATGGATGAGGACACACAGAGACTCAAGAGAGCATTTCTTCCCCCCCAGCCCCCTCCCGCTCAGGGGAACATGGGTCTCAGGGTAAAAGGAGGCCTGGCAGGGCTGCCCACTGAACTCTGAGCTGGCAGTGGGGATGGGGCCTCAGGGCAGAGCTGACCCCCATGAAAATGACCACATGCTATGAGTCCACCCTACACTGGGAAATGGGCATTTCCCCCTGTGCCGCCTCAGGAAGGCCTCAAAAGTTCCCACTCAAACCATTGGTCTTACACATGGGACACAGGGGTCCAGAGAGGGGAAAAAGGATGCCCTCGACCCCACGGGAAGGTCAGGGTGTCTCAGCCCCAGGACCAGGGTTTGCGCACACAGTGAGGGCGGCAGGCCTAGAGCTGGCAGCTGTGTTTCTTCCTGGTGGCTACGCTGGGGCCATCTGGGCCGCGGGGCTGGACG